GGATTACAGGCGTGAGCCACCGCGCCCGGCCACCCCTAGACATTTCTTTACCACTGGCTGATTCACCTTAACTAGGATACTTTTTTGTCTCAAAACTGTTTTCTTAATTTTAAATCCTTTTTTTTTGGTTAACAACCTACTGCCTACATCTCAGAGTTGTTTTGAAAATACTGCAACTTCTGGGACATAGTTAGGGCTCCATAAATGTTAGCCATCTTTGAAAGAAAACATTTTGAGTCAATATAGGTACACCATCCTGCCCAGTGATTCATCTTTTAGTCTCTGACATAGTGTCTAACAGTAATGTCCATTAGTAACAAGATTTTCCAGTTCTCTCCAGTGTCATAACAAGTCACTCTCTTCCAAAATACTATGCACAGAATACAGGAAGAAATGAAATAGCAAAGAATACAGGAAGAAATGAAATACAGGAAGGAAGAAATGAAATAGCAAAGAATACAGGAAGAAATGAAAATTATGTGACGCAGAAGGTTTCTAAGAAACCTAATGTAGTGAGTGCCACCAGTAGGTGGCTTGTGGCCATAACAGAAAAAAAACTGTTAAAGCCTCACATGTTAAAAGCTACAAATGCTTACCCTCTGCCTGTGGTCCCCACTCCACCCCTTTAAATTGTGCCCTGTGGTTTAACTAAGGATTACAAGCTGCTCCCTGCCTAGTATGTGTCAGGAATAGCACAATCCAACCTTTACACTGAGAAGGCAAAGTTGATAAGTTTGTTCTAGTTCATCTCCTGGAAGCTCCATCTGCACTTTCAGAAAAACAGAAATAATCACCCTTTTACTCAGCAATGCACCAAGTCCATGAACATGATAGGTAACCCCCACAACATTCCCAAAAGGTAGCCATTCCTAGCACTGTTTCATAGATAGTTGTTGGAGCAACATAAAACTTTCTTCTTGGAAACTGTGAGAGAAAAAAAACTAGAGGGATTATGTCTGTAGATACATTACTACAATAACCTCTGCATCTTCCATTAAAAAAAAAAACAACTAGTAAAATAGCTCAGCCTCACAGGTGGGTTTTTATTCACCAGCTGTTCCTGTATAGATTCTGAGAGGTTGTGAATCTGGTCCTACATAGAAATAAGGCCGAAGAGCTCCAGTAAAAGTGTCAGAGAAAGTACAGATGTGAGATTTCTCAGCCATGTTATAGAATGAGATCTCACCCAGCTCATAGTCCACGAAAATGCCAATGGTCCTAGCTTTCACTTCTAACAAGAGAGGGGTTGGAAAAGCCCCTGGTGCATGATAGCCGTCATCCTGTAGCTCAATTCTCCAACATCCCTGCTGGGCTGATGAGGGTCTCCTCGCCTTTGTGGGAAGAGAATCTTTGCAAATGCCAATAGCCCATTCAGACTTATCTCCCACTTCAATCTCCCAGAAATGCCTGCCGGAATGAAAACATGGAAAACCCAGAACAACTGGCTTGACAGTAAATCTTTTTGGGAAACCAGGAACCTTTTGTTTTCTCTTTGTAAATCTCACACATTTTTTATCTTCAGATACAATCAGGTTAGGGTGTGCTGTTTCAGAGTCTAGAATTACATCTACTTTAAATTTCTTTATAATTCTCTGCAGAGCAGAATATTGGGGAGGAAAACTGCAGCCATCTCTCTTCAAATGAATTGAAAAGATTGATGGGCTACTCTCATTTTCAGACTCGTAGAAAAGTTTAATTTGTGACAGCAGTTCCAGTTCAGACAGCTCACTGAGCTCTGCTACCTTATTTAATTGGCTCTTGAGTGTGGCAATGTAGTTTGAAAATGCTGCTATGTTTGCACTGAGTTTCTGTTGATTGTCCTTCTCTTCTTCAGCTAGTCTGGAGAGAGCTGCCTGCTGCTCACGGTCTAGAAACTGGGTGAGGTGCTCAAATTCAGAGGACAGTTCCTGCCTTTGGCTTTCTACCTTCTCTCTCAGTTCTAAGAGTTTTTTGCTTTGAGTGGTTATTAATTTTTGAAGGTCTGCCAATTGCTTTTTCAGGGGCTGGATGTAACTGCGGAGCCTTTCCCTGTGATGAGAGGCAGCCTCCTCTATGGGCCTCACGTGGTGGCCCTGGTGGTTAGGGGGCTGAGTGCACAGGGGACACAGCAGCACCAGGTCCTCCTCGCAGAAAACACTCAGGGGCTGGTTGTGCTTCTCGCACAAGGTCCTTTTTTCCTGCCTCTTTTTCTTGCTCTTCGCGCTCTCGAGTATCTCGGCAATTTCAATCATCCTTCCCATCTGGGCGTTGCTCCTGAAGTGCCTGTCTTGACATTGGTGACGACAGACAGGGCAAGGGAACAATTCCTGTAGATCTGCCCAGGACTGTTGGATGCAGAGCTGACAGAAGTTGTGCCCACAATCGATGGTGACGGGGTCTCTGAGGTAATCCAGACAGATGGAGCACTTGGATTCTGCTTTGAGTTTGGTCACACGTGCTGCCATTGCCATTGGTCTGTCAATGAAGGTCTTGACCAAGGTGGTTGAGCTCTGTGGGTTTCTCCAGTGAGAAGCAGATATGCTCTTAGATCTCACCGTCCTTCCTGGAGACAGTCACTGGAGACAGACCTCACTACAGTCCCACTGATTTCTCACATTGGTGGTAGCACTTGAAGACCCACACACAGCCTGCTGGCAGTCACAGCTCAGCCAGACAATTACTCTTCTAGTCTTTGGCTGCACGGAGAAAATGAAGCCAAGCTAAGCAGCTCTGTTAGGAAAGCATCCGATGCCTCAAATCTGTGGGTGAGAAGATATTTCTTTCTTAAAAACAAAACAAGGTGAAACAAACCTGAATTTATTTCAGGTAGTCCTAACTTCCACCACATTCTAGCCAAACACAAATTATCCTCCCCTAGCCCCAGTCTTTTATTTCCGTGCCTTTATTATTGTGCCCTAGCTACTCCACATACTTGGTACCACAATCACCACATCCCATCTACTTACCATCATCCTAACTGGGGTTGTGAGAACAGCCTAGGCCCTGAGGCATGGAGACCACCCAAATTAGAAACATCTTCGGTTACCTATCTCTGTAACTTGGAGAAATTTGCTTTACATCCCAAATTCTGAGAATCGGGTAAATAACGACAATCTCCCTTTAAACTTTTGTCTTGATAAGGTATTTCTAGCCTGGGCAACGTAAAGTGAGCCTGTCTCTCCAAAAAAAAAAAAAAGAAGAAAAACAACAACAAAATTTAAAAAATTAGCTGAATGTGATGGTGCACACCCGTAGTCCCACCTACTTGGGATTCTGAGGCAGGAGGACTGCTTGAGCCCATGGAGGTCAAGGATCCAGTGAGCTGTCATTATGCTACTGCACTCTAGCCTGGGTGACAAAGTGAGACCTTGTCTCTAATTAAAAAAAAAAAAAAAAAAAAATGTCTTTCTGATGGCTCAAAATCACATCTACCAAATTTACCTTGCTCTTTCATCCTTGCTTCTCTATAGTTGAATAGGCCACAGAAGACCTATCTATTTGTGAAGTGAAATCAAACAAGATAACAAAATGAATATAAACAAAATTTGGAAAAATACTTTTAGTATTTACTAAAATGTCATTATGTCTAAATGCAAAATACCATAAGATAAGAAAATAGACAAAAACTGAACATATTCCCAATGTACAGGAACATGCTCCCAAAGGAGCACAGAAGTAACAGTTATGGAAAGATGCAGGACTTTAAGAATTGAAACGCAGATATTCCAACACTGTAGACATGTGAAGCAGAAACCTCCTTTTTTTTTTTTTTTAAAAAGCAATGCTAAAATTCCAAAGGCTGAGCTTGGTGGTGGCTCACACCTGTAATCCCAGCACTTTGGGGGGCTGAGGCAGGAGGATCCCTTGAGATCAGGAGTTCAAGACCAGCCTGGACAACATGGCAAAACCCGGCTGCTACTAAAAATACAAACAAATTAGCCTGGCATGGTGGCACATGTCTGTAATCGCAGCTACTTGGGAGGCTGAGACACAAGAATTGCTTGAACCCAGGAGGTGGCAGTTGCAGTGAGCTGAGATCGTGCCACTGCATTCCAGCCTGGGTGACAGAGGCAGACGCTAACTCAAAAGCAAACAAACTAAAAACTTTTTTTTTTTTTGAGACAGAGTCTCTCACCAGGCTGGAGTGCAAGGGCGGGATCTCAGCTCACTGCAACCTCCGCCTCCCAGATTCAAGCAATTCTCCTGCCTCAGCCTCCTGAGTAGCTGCGACTACAGGCCCACGCCACCACGCCCAGCTAATTTTTGTATTTTTAGTAGAGATGGGGTTTCACCATGTTGGCCAGGATGGTCTTGATCTCTTGACCTCGTGATCTGCCCGCTTCGGCCTCCCAAAGTGCTGGGATTACAGGCGTGAGCCATCACGCCCGACCTAAAAACTTAAAATTGAGAAGTTTTCCTATGCCGTTGTAATTCTACAATACTAATCCTATAAAAATGCATATAACTGGCTGGGCGCCCTGGCTCACGCCTGTAATCCTAGCACTTTGGGAGGCCAAGGTGGGTGGCTCACCTGAGGTCAGGAGTTCAAGACCAGCCTGGCCATCATGGTGAAACCCCATCTTAAA